GCACATTGTCTGCCAAATCTACATATTGCTGGCGTGGGAAAGCATGGACCCCTCCCACGTGCCAGCGCAGCGGTGCGCAAATGATTTCCTGAGCTTGGAACTTCACAATTTACCTCACACCCCGCAAACGCACGCGCACGCCCTTGCGGGTGAAAATTACAAGGGCACGTGGCCTGCCTTGATGCGGCGACCCTTGTCGACGAAGAAGGCGTCTGCGAATTAAGATTGTCGCCTGCACCACAGTGGGCGCGCCGGCGCAGCGCTTGGCAGGCAAGCTGGGGTTCCTCACACAGGCCGTGTTCGGCGCCGTGGGCAGAGCGGCTATTCAACCCATTCACCAAAGGGCGGCAGAGGCGTCAAGGACCAGCGCCAATTTGACGCCAAAGCTGGTCGACGCACTGCTCTCGTCATCGGCGCCGCTGGACCATGTCCGGCCCCGCTTCATCCAGTGCGCCGGTGTCCAGGGTGCGTCGAACGATGGCCTGTAGTTTGGCTATGCGTCGTTCTGTCGGCTGCCGTCTTTGCCCAGCTGGATCACCTGTTCTTTCGCCGGCGGCTGGGCCTTGCTTGGCTTTGTCTGTAAGCCGGTCGCCGAAGATGCCGCTAAAGGTGTGGTGCGCCGAGTCGGCGAGGTCGGTGAAGTCCAAGGCGTTAAGCAGGAGGACCCCGAAGCACATCGCCACGTGCATCCATAGCCTGACGCCCGCCGATTCCTGGACCAGCCACTGCCGATATGCGTTGAGCATGTCGTGGCCGAAGGCCGCCAGGTCTGTGCTCTCCTCGGCCACGCGACGAGCCAGGTCGACGAAATCCCCCACAGTTTTATGGTGGGTGGGGACGTCGTCTGCCTCCATGGCTGCGCTGTGCCCAGATCTGCGCCAATCTTCGCCGCGCGCAACTTCACCTTCCCATGCTCATCCTCCTGGACGATGGGGAAGGACACAGCCGCCACGGCCGGCGCGTCGTGGGGCAGCGCCACTGTCCGGCACGGCCAGTCGGACGGCGCCCGCTTGAGCCTACAGACGTCTGTCGCAACGCCGTCTTATTAAGATACATGCCCCTGGCATCCCAGCAGTCGGACCCTTACCACTATTTTGCCGCGGTTGCCCTTCTTCAGTGCGCCGGTCGGCTTAGCGCCGGGCGGGCTACGCCGAAAAGGCTAGCCAAAATGAGCGCCGTGCGCGCAGCTTGCCGCTGCCGATTGGCAAATATGCGACGAGGAGCTTACGCCCCCGTCGGGGACCTGTGTCCGGGCGCAGGTGCGCCGAATGCAACCGCCGGGCGGCGGTACAAAAGTAAAAGTCGGTCTTACGCCCACGTCGAACAAATTGAAACTGATCGTCACAGCCGAAGGCACCCGCCAGGATGAAGTCGGGGATGCCGTAGACGCCGATGACGCCGCTGCCCCACCACTCATCGACCAGTGAAGTGCTGGTGATGATCATGGTCGGCGGGGCACGCATGGCCGGTCCATTGTTAATGCCGAGAACAATGGGACGAAGGCAAATCCCTTTGTTCCCACAAGCGGCGTTAGGTGATTTGGTACATTCGGCCGCCGCGCTGATTGCGTGGCAAGCGCCGAATGAAGAAAGCATTCGCCGACGGCGAGTATGGCACCAGCCGAAGTCGGGAAGCGCCAGCAGCTCCAAGTCTTCGGGGAGCTGTTCGACGGACCATGCGCCGCGGCTCTCCATCGCGCTTGTAGTCGGGCATCGCCGAGTTGAACCTGACGGCGCCGGGCCTCTCAGGCCTCATGTCAAAGCCTTCCGGCAGCTCGTCGTCGGTGCCCTCCTCACGGAACCTGGAGCGACGGTGGGATCTGCAGCGCCGTTGATGTAGTCGCCGGTGGGGGCGTCGAGGAAGATGACGACGCCGAACCAGCCGCCGCTGGGCCAGTGAGCCGAAGAGGCTCGTGCCGAAGTGGCCGGGCGTCGGTCTGGCTCTGGCCTGTTCTGGCGCGGGGAAGGAGCCGCGGCCGATGCTTCCGCCGGTAATGCCCCAATTGCCGGTCTCATGCGCCGCAGCGGTCATCCGCCGCTATCTGGCGCTGGAGCTCGGCGAGGCTGCTCCGCTCCGTCACCATGGTCGCCTCGTCGACCTGCTCATGCGGCTCTGGCCCAGGGAGCTGAGACAGTTCCGCCGGTGGGCGTTTGGCCTGTATGGCGCGAAGCCGACGAGGCGTCGATGGGGGGTGGCGCCTTGGGCTTTGGCTGCGCCGAAGGATGCGGCGGCAGGCCAGCCGGTTTGGCCATGTAGTAGGCGCCGATGTCGGGCCGTCATCTCCGCCGTCCACGGTCAGGAACCCGGCCGCCTTGGAGCAATGTGGTAGGCGCCAAAGTCGGGCCATCATCTCCGCCACCAACCGTCAAGAATGCCGTGGGCAGCAGACGCCGAGGTCGTGCCGCCAGCGGCGCTGTAGCCGCCCGCAGCGCCGCCGTGGCCGCCACTGTCAGCGCCGCTGCCGCTGGGTCCATCAAGATCGGGCCAATTGCGCCGCCTGCGGCGGGCGGGTTGCCCAAGGGCGCTTGCATGGCGCCGAAGTTGATGACCTCCTCGTCGGCGACGGTGGTGGCAGCCGGCGAACGCTCGCCCTCCTGAATTGCATCGAGCTCCGCCGTGAGAGCAGCCGGCTCTACCGCCGGGTCCAGCCAAGAGGCAGCCGCCGAAGAGGAAGCCGTGTCGAGCTTTGTGCCCTTGCGGCGTCGGACCACTGTAGACGCCGGTGAAGGTGCCGACGTCGTAGAGATGGCGGAAACCGCCGCCACCACCTTAGCTTGGAGCTCCGCCAACCAGCTCCCCACCTCCGCCGCCAGTGCATGATCGCCGAGCGACGCCAGGACGTCGGCGACGTTCGTCGCAGACGAGGCCATGGAAGACACCGGGGTCGAAGCCATGTCGTTGAATCGACGAAAGAGGCGTAAAGGAGGCAGGGGAAGCGAAAAGCCGACGAGCCGATATGCTTCGGTTCGTCGTATACATGTTAGTCCTCACATGCACGCATGTGTTTCACGGCAATTCAAGGGCATGAGTCTACCTGAAATGAGGAGAGCTTTTGTTTGCCGCAGCCTGCCCCATAGATTCGTGCTACACATGAAGCCGATCTTGCCAGTGTACCTTTCTGTCTGCCAGAAGCCACCAGACCACAGTAAAATCCTGTCTGTTAGCAGCATCTGCGCGGGCTGCCCGGAGGCCAACTTGCGGGCCTGTACTTCCCTGTAAATGTCCCTCTGAAACTGAAGTCAGCACTATGCAAAAGCTGCGGCCTGCCTCCGGGGGCCAGCGAGACCCGGGCCTTCAGAGATTCAGGCATTTGCACGGTGTCCCTTAAAGAAGACTTCTTCACATCAGCTCTGAAATCACCAGGTCTTCAGATCGATGGCTGCCTGAATAGCGAAGCCACGCAGCGTCGAGGCTGCATGCCCGGGGCCTGAAACGGCATCTTGGGGATGGGAACTGCAGGTTTAATTGGACTCGCTCATGTCCTCAGCCCCAAATTCACACTATCCAATGCAGCTCAAGACTGTAGAGGCCAAGAGCAATCCGAATTCGATGCGCAAGCCTCTGATACTTGCGTTGCGTGTGGCCCCATCTGCCCTACCAGAGCACAATACTGCACCCTCCAAGAGCAGCTCAAGCTTACCAAGTGCCAGCTCACGCCGAAGAATAGGGGGATCGGAATGCAAAAGCTACCTCCTCACCAGTGCTGAACATATTTGGATCCTGGTATTTGCCTGAGCCATGCTCCTAGGAATCCCCAAAAACGAACCGAGCAGCCCCAACAAAAACCAAAAGCTTGGAGCCTCCAGGCAAATCCAGCTCTGAAAGCTTCTTGCCGCCTGCAGAGTCAACTCTCACACAAAAATAGGTTTGCTTCTACATGCTCTAAAATTACTAGGCAGAAAGCATCTGTCATGCGTCTTATGAGAATCTGTGCTTGCTAAGAAAGTCGACCGATTGATTTCAGCTATTTGAGGTGACATGCCAAAAGCTGGAAGGTCTGTTACAGCCCAACACGACCACATCAGCCAGGACGGAGATTCCCTGCCCCTAAGCGCAGCCGAGCGCACTGGCGATTCCAAGTTGAGTCTTCACGATGTCCACATCCGTGGCCTAAACAGGTTTCGATGCAGAACGTAGGCCACAATGGACTACTGGCCATGGGACGCATCAGAATGTTTTCAGATGCATGCAGCTTTGCAGCTTTGCAGCTGGACCTTGGCTGTGGTACAAAGCTTGGTATCATCCGCCTCTTCTGTAATGGTGTGCTCAACCTGGATCCTCGGGTTCACCTGGCAATGTCCAAAAAGCAGGCCACCCCCTGCGCTTCTCTGTTAGGACTTCGAGGCACTGCTTGTCACCTTTGGTTGGTCACATGGTGGCTTGATTTTCAGCGGCAGGCCCCAACACGCCCCTTTAATCTTAACTTTGACAGCACTCAGCCTCCATGAACACGAAGCGGGAGTCCGGATCATCTAGACCCCCAGCGACCATGAACTCCACGGTGCCAACCTCAGATCTACGGCATCATACCTAGCTCAAGAGTAATCGATGGAAACTATCACGAGGAGGTTCCCTGCACAGTGAGTGCAGAGCTGCAGAAGCACAACTGCAACAGTTGCAGGACATTAGACCCGATAGCCTATGGCGTTGAGGCAAGCGCTGTCTGGGAAAGGGTCCTATAGGGTCCTGCTGACTGTGGTCCCACATAGGCACTTGTCTAGGAATTCACATAACTTAACAACTTTTCTCGCACAGCGACCCAACGTCTGCTTCAAAGTACCAGAGACCTGTAGCCCTTCAAAGTTCCCACTTGGGGCGTGGCTCCACGATAGTTGCAATTCAGAAGGAGCCGAACAGCGCAATCCGTGATTCGCTCCCTGAGCCTTGCTGCGCAGGCAGTAGCACTGAACCGAAAACCGGCAAAACAGACATGGACGTTGAGCGAGCCGCCCGCCCCTGTAGACAGATGCACAAAGACAGCTTGCCAGAATTGAGGAGCCTGAGCAAAGAGAGACAGAGAGAGACAGAGACAGAGAGACAACAAACAAAAATTGCAAGGCAGCCAGGGATGGAGGGAGGGAGGGGGGGGGAAGAACAGTAAGAAGGAACTCCGGACTCTCCTAGCAAATTCCCGTGAGTATCTACCTACGTTCTCGGGGACCACACCCTGGATGGATGCGCGCAGGCGCCACTTCAACGACCTGGCGCACTTGAAACTCTGCCTGTGGTGTATGGAGCTGGGGCGGTTTTTGAGAAGGTTTGAGGGCTCAGGTTTTTGGCCGGACTGGGTTTTTGCCAATGTATTCTAGGTTCAGGAGGTCTGACGGTTAAGTCGGCAAACCTAAAGAATACACAGATCACGCCTGTCAGCAGTTTTCTGTCAGTTGAAGTACGACTTTAGTACGACCGTGGCTCCAAAAAGGTCCCTCGTGTGGTTTCCGCATGGTGAAAAGGATCGCATGATCAAGCCAGCTGCCAAAAACTTCGCGAATATTGCTATACCCCCTAGATCCGTGCATTTACCGACCTTCTGGTTGCGCAGTTGAACGCTGCAGTCCCGCTCGTAGAGGTGCGCACAGCCTCCTTGGCCATCAGCCAGGACCTGGACCTGAATCAGCTCCAAACTATTGAAAGCAAAGCCTTGTAGGAAAACATTCTTAAACAGATTTGACAGTGACAGGGATGTTTCCTGCTCCACTATGGGACTCGTTCTGAAACTAGCCATCAGGCATCGGCGTTGGACACAGAACGCAGGTGCTATGCCAGCAGTGAACTTCATCGCAGCGGAACCTGGATGCGGGCCCTGCCGAGCTTAAATGACTTGTAGACACTGGCTCTCAATGCGCTCCAAGATCTCGAGACGTTGGCGGACCGGGACTAGCGTAAGTAGTCTCAAAACTGTCGAAGCTTAAGCTGCCCACCTCGATGTGGCGCGCTTCGTCCAGGAACTCTTCTAGGAACACCTGACTTCGCTGCGCAGAATGCATTTTCAGTCTGACAACAGGCCGTACTGCCGCAAAAAACGTTATCTGACTACCCGGCAAAACCAATCAGGCCGGCAATTCACAACTGTTCCCCTCAACTTCACACCACAAAACTAGAAGGATTCGAGAGGACCCAGAACAAACCACTGTATCAGCGGAAAAGCCTCACGCGATAATGAGTGTAGGCAAGGGGGGCAATTCAATTCCTCAGGCATCTCACACACATTCCGCTCGACCTGCCAGGAGTCCTGCAGCTACCCGAAAGTAAGGGAATCCTGAAGAAGATGAACAAGTCCAGAGCAGTCGGAGAATTGGCCGAGTCGCTGAGCCGTTGCCGAAGGCAGTCTTTGCTTCACTGGTGCAGCGCCTCGGGGCTTCACTGTCCTTTCTTCTCTCCACACCCAGAAACCCAGAGGCCCGAAACGCTCAAAGCTTTCAAAATGCCTGAGAATCCTGCTCGAAAGCATCGTTGAGCTCACCATCTTGACGGACCAGCCCTGAGGCTTCTGGTCATGTGTAGTCATGTCTCTCGGGGTTCACTGTATGATTTTCAGCTTCTAGGATCTGCCTAAAGCACACAGGTAATTAGGAGGATGTTAGCAAATCCGAATGAATTTCTTTGGGGATGGAGAATCGCACTTCTTGTTGGGGAGTCCACCAAGCAGGTCGTATTGTGCCAAAAAACTCCAAGAAACATGCCTGCTAAAGTTTCGATGACTTTGCTTGCCGGCCCCCCTTAAGAATCTGGACACACCTCATACTTGCCTCATACATAGTCAATTCTCAAAGCAGGGGCTCGGTGCCCCACCCGTGGAGCAAATTCCCTGATCTTGCCCCCACTTTCCCTAAACAACCTCGCGAAAATCTGAACAGCTTATTTCTCCAAACCTCTTCTTTCCTCCACAACGATGCCTAAGCCGGGTCTTTGTCTAACGCGTGAAACAGCGAGCCGTGCATCATTAGCATCTCCACGTTTGCCGACAAGAGGCTCATGCCACGACCGCCACCACCAAAGGCCGCCTTGAAGATGATTGGCAGGGGAAGGCCCTCGCCTTGGGAATTTCAGACAATTCTCGGTCTGCCCTTTCGAAATTGTATCGCTCTGAAAGTATAATGCGTGCTCCTTTAGGGGACAGGACTTTGCTAGATTTCGATTGAGGCGGCTTCTAGGGTTCACAGCAGTCGTTTACGCCTTAAATTCGAGTTGCTCAACAAAAAACCCTACAAAGTCCCTAATAGGGACCCCTAAAATGTCGGCACAATCTCTACCTACCTACCTACCTACCTACCTACATACATACATACATACCTACATACATACATACATACATACATACATATGTACATATATACATACATACATACATACATACATACATACATATGTACATATGTACATATATACATACAGATATACATACAGATATACATATATATATACACATGTATGTATGTATGTATGTATGTATGTATGTTTGTTTGTATGTATGTATGTATGTATGTATGTTTGTATGTTTGTATGTTTGTATGTTTGTATGGTTGTATGTTTGTATGTATGTATGTATGTATGCATGCATGCATGCATGCATGCATGCATGCATGCATGCAGTTCTGCCCCAAAAGATCCATGTGGAAGAGGGTTGGGGTGAGCAGCATACACTTAGTTAGCATGTCGTTTTATTGCACCAACTCCTACATGCGCTCTCACATCCTGGGTCTTGGTTTCCTTTATATGAATCCGTGAAAATGTTTTTCAAACTTAAGAATGATTTTTGGATCCAGAGTTCCAGACTTTCTCTATACAAATCTCATACAACATTTGCTGCTTCAAAGGTAAACAGGAATTCTGAGATCCTGGACTCCTTATCTTCTTCATATTAAGCCCCTTACTAAATTTGCCAGTTTTATCCTGGGTGCCTCGAGCGCCCCCATTTTGAGAACCCCAAGTGAGTCTCACTTTCTGGCACCACAAAAGATACCACCATATAGACTCTCACGAGGAGCCGGCCCATGACCCCTACGCTAACAATCTCTCAAGTAGAGGAGGCTTGGCTGCGCAGAGCATTTAGGCGGTTTGCTGAAGGCTTGATGGCAGCGATTTGGTGTAAGTGTAAGGGTTATGCACCGTTCCTCAAGCAAGAACGGTCATGGCCTGCATCGGGTCGAAGACATACGTTGCAAACACCCTAATGCTACAAATGATTACAAATGAATTCATGACTTGATTTACTGAAGATTTCGTGGATTTGTCCAGTCTTGGTGCTGCTGTGTTTGGTAACTTTGGAAACTGTGAGGGGTCCCCACCACGCAAGTTGCCCTTCACTGTTTATAGTAATTGAGCCTCCTCTTGCAAAAAACATCTGCCCAGATGTGCAAGTACAACTCCTCAAGCCAAATTTCACGGGCCGCTGGCGTGCCAGAAAGTCTCGGGCATCTTGCCAAGAGTTCAAGAAGGGTGAGCCCTTCAGGACCTCGGCGGTCAAGAAAAGTCATGAGGGACGGGCTTGGCCTCTGAGACTCTCATCCTCCAACTCTCACTTCCGAATGCGGAACTGGAACTCTGAGGCGGAGCCTTCACCTCGATTTGGGAGCCTCCCTCATGCTGGAGGCACCTTCGCTTCTGGGATGTGCACCCACCTGTTTGAGTTCACAAAAGAGCCTTGGTTTTTATAAACTTGAATACAGCTTTGGAAAAAAGAGACCAAGGCCTTGAGATAGAAGCCTTGCAGCCGAAAGCAGACTACACTGCTGCCTGGGCTTCCAGCAGGCACGTTGCTGGACATAGCCAACTCCCTGGCACGTACCTGGCAATGCAGACTGGACCTGTATTGGGGAGGCACAAAGAAAGGAAATGCACAGGGCAGGCGGCAGATCCCTACAAGCAGCTGAGACGTGTAAAGAGGCTCCCAAAGGTCCCACAAAACCAGTCGCATGCATTATCTCAGCTGCTGCCCGATCAAATCGCAAGACTCTCAAGAGCTCTTGCTCAAGCTGAGCCAGTTTGGACCGGCATCCCCAAAAACTTAATCTGCAAGCCGAGTCCGCATGCGTTGCCCAGAACATGTCACTGCACCCCCCCCTTCCGCACTGCCTTGTCTCCCAAAAGCGCAATGGTCTCTGGCCGCGGACCGATGAAAATGATTCCAGCGGCCTCTTTTCGGGCTTGGGATTTGCGAGGTGCGGGCTGCAGAAAAAATGAGCTAATGCAAATTAAGATAAAGTACAAATACCTGAAAGTCATTTCCTGGCAAAGCAGGCTTTGGGTGTGGAACTGGGTTGATCACGCGCTTGTACTATGGGCTGCCACCACACCGAAGCAATTCCTAACATCCCCATATATACTATACCCATCCCGCAGAGTCGCCTCACAGGCAGCAGCAAACTCTGCGCTCTCACTCAGGAAGCCATAGCCAGGATGCACAGCTTGTGCACCAGTCTTCCTCAGCGCGATTCGTGTGGGGATCTAGCCGATGGTTTCAGTTGCAGGTCGAAATCCATCGAAGCGCCTGTTCGTAAGGATCCCAGCACAGTTGGAGTGCAAAGCCCGTTGACAGCTAAATGAAACCCATCGAACAGTGCCCCCCGAGACCAAAGCTTCGCGGCTTCCACCACGCTCTGCACGTCCAGGTAGGGAGCAATCGGGCCCGGGTTCGTTGAGGTCACCTAGCGCTTCGGAAAATACGGCTGCAAACTAGTAGTGCACCTTCACAGCCGATTTGCAGCATCGTGAGGCTTGCCTTCAAGTCAGCACGTTAAGAGGATGAGCTTAGTTGGGCTATGCTTTCATCTTCTTCCATCCTGCCTCTGGCATGTCGAGCGATTGAGCTGGTACTGACTTACATTCGGCATAAGCCGACCCTAACAAGCATGGAGCAACGCAGGACCAAGTTGACTATTCAAAGAAAACGCAAGATGCAAACGCAAGCCCTAGAAAATTCGAATCCCACGACCAGCACTGCCAAGCGGCCCGAACTGCTTCTTGCACTCGCTGTACATGCAAAGAGCCCTTATCCTCTTCCGCGTAGATCCCCACCTCAGCGCAGTTCAGCTTCAAGTTCGCCCTAGCTGCGTTCTTCACGCTGAAGGAGACTCGTGAACAAACCGAGCAAACCTAAGTTGTTGAGGCCCCACCCATGCGAGGCTCCGAGAAAACAAGTCAATGAAAACCTTATGGCTAGTACGGAATGCATCACGAGTCTCTCCTACACTTCGACAACATGAAAGCTCAACATCTTCGCCCTCTGAACCCAGAAAACATGTTGAACCTTGGATACCTCATCCTTACCTAGGAACGTGATACGGTGCCGCAAATAAAACCTTGTGAGTGTCATGCAGGCGGCATTGAAAGCAGTCAATGTCCCCTCGCGAACGTCTGGACCCATGAAAAGCCTACACACGGTGCAAAAGCATCTTACCCTGGTAATGGGTGCCGCCTGCGTAGGTACTTGGTAGTTGAATTCAGTATGACACCTGCATCACGTTCCTGCACAATCTGCCCTGAAATCTAAATGACCTGTAGATACTACTGGAATGCATCTGATGGTAGCGCTTCCTCAAGGGCCCTTGCTGTGGCCAAACCCTCCTCCTGGCAGGCCTCAGCTTCTGCGCTACGGATGGCGTAGCGTCTTCCCTCTATGTAGCTGTTCATACATGTTATTCTTGAATTCATATAGTGCTACCATTCGGATGGACTGAACGGTCTCGGCTTCTTACAAATGAACGACATCATGTGCATCAATAGCATGCTTCAACATATCCATGCCCAAAGCCCATAGTGTTGGGTTGGATGCTATGAGGACTATCCTGTAAGTGCCTTCATAGCGTCAAAAGGTCAGCACGGTGAGCATGGTGTATCTCGCTGTGGTAGCAATTCAGAAAGACTCTCTCAACAGTGCTGATAGGCTTAGCACGGCTACAGCCACTTGTGTTCTTGGCACTATTCAGTGTTCACTGCCTCGCTTAATGGAATCCCCTTCAGT